CAATATTGTCAGCTAAATATAGTCCCTCTTCTGTCTTCTCCCTCCTGGGCTCCCCACCGCTCCCTCATCGCTCCTCTATGAAGTCCATGAGTTGATCACGGATTAGTGTAAGTTGTTGCTCGCCTCCTGGCTTAATATCTCAAGTACTCATATTGGTGTGTAAAGTCTGAGCCTGCTTGTTCTGAAGCATCGAAACGGCCTCTGTGTGAAGGGAAGATGACACCTGCAGGCAAGTTTGTTATGAAATGTGATGGTTATAAAACTATCAGTTATAAAAAGCCTCCCTGCCCAGACACACACACACACACACAAGCACATTTCTCTATCCTCGTGGGGACTGTCAGTTGACTTCCATTCATTTCTAACCCATTTCTACAGCCTAATGGTGACCCTAACCCTAACCATAATGGCCTCATACCTAACCCTAACCCCAACATGCACTCAACTCACACCTTACTCCTAAACCTAACACTTAACCCTAGAAAAGAATTTGTACCCTTGGGGATCATACATTGGTCCCCACTAGAGCACTCTGTCCTTACGATGTGCTAAGATTTATGGAAAAGCGTCCCGCGTGATGTAAGAAATACATGCCCACACACACACACAAAAAAATGAAGTGAAAAGTAGCTCAGTTTTTTTTATTTTGACTCCATTAGCAGTAGAAAGTAAAACCTTTTTAATGATACCTGGTTTGTTGCTGTAAACGGCCACAAATTACTAATTTATTAAACTTAAAGATGATAAAAGCAAAAATAACTACAAGACTTCCTATATGAGTACAGATACTTACATTTCAGTACTTGACGATAACGATTACTGAGACGATAAAGTCATAATTAAGAGATTTGATCATGTTCTCTGAAATTCTGTGCAGACAAAGACAAAGAAATACTTTTACCCCTGATTATAGCTGACATTACAATACGATCGATTATTCTGACATCAGTGTAGCCGATTCTCAATACCGGCGATATTTTTGGGCCAATTTTTAGTGCTGATATTGCTTTTTATTCCTCCTTTTACATCATAAAAGATAACACTATAATAAAAATGCTACACAGGTTTCAGTTTAGACAAAAAAAGAATCAATGAAAACATTAACAGTAGATAGCAGATGGAGGGAGCAGCAATGCATGCCCTTCACATGATCTCAAGGCATGGCTGCTGAATGCTCTACTTAATCTGTAAACGCATGCATGCATGTATCGGCCAATACCTACAGTATACAAGAAAAAAAAACACAACACAAAAATATGACCCTAACCCAAAAGTGGTGATGCTAGTGATGGATAATTGCTTAAATGATCTTTTTGCTTTTGGCAGAAAGAGCTCAACATACATTTTTATAAAACAAAAGGCTAATGTAGACTCCCTTCACTAATTACAGTTTTAAGCTTCACAAATGGGGCCTTTATGGAGGAGTAGTGGGACAGAAGCAACTGTAATTTTGATGTGATTTTAACTTCTTTGTCTGCTTTTCTTCATCATAAAAAACTCTTCTCAACCAAAACATTAAACCTGAAGTCAATTAAGCAAATTACATAAAATGTTTCTTAACACTACAAGCTAATTGTACAGTTTGTTCCAGGTCAGAAAGAAGATGTGTGTCAAAGCATTGGTGCTCTATTAATGGTTCTCCACCTTCTTCAGGTCAGAGTGGAGCAAGTTTCACTTTCCATGGCATATCAGCCATGACCCCTCCTCTAATTTAACCTGCATTGCAGAATCTTTGGACGGTGCTTTCCATAGAAGACCTTAAAATGTGACATGCACAGAAATTTATGGTCCAAAAAATATGTGATGCAAAGTCAAAACCCAGAAATAAATCCTGCTGTGCTACACTGTCCTCATATTTACTCTCCAGTTAAGCCATCTTTCAACATCTATCTCTTTTTCACATGTAGGGTTATTCTATTATCGAATCCCACCATCCTTTCTACCCCAACACATGCAGAGAGGAAACCTGTTCCTGCCTCTTTAACAGGTCATACTTCTGTTTAAAAGCACCCAAGGCGCTCCATATTTCAAACAGACAGCTCACGCTGATTTACGCAACACTGATGTTAAAGCTTTCACGGAAGTCGAAGGTATTCAGACATTATGCTGCAATGTTTTTATTGGTCAGAGCAAAACAGATCCAAACTGACGTTTTTAGATGTAGACATTTGTTTTCAGTCATCAAGAAGCAAGCAGGTTGAGCTTGGATTCTGTAAAACTGCGTTTCTTGGCTAACAACACAAGAAATAAATGTATGGAGTAAATATTGTTCCATTATTGTGAATGTGAATTTGATAAAAAAAAAAAAATGAATGCAATATGAATATATGATATGAAACTTTGAAAACTCAAGTTTTTTTAACAAATTAAAAAAAGTTAAAAAATAATATTTTAAAAAATTTATATTTGAAAAAAAATAAAATAAGATCAGAGAAAACAGCAAATGTACTCTCAAAACCTTTTTTCTGATTAAGAAGTTTTTCAAAATTTCATTTCTAGATTGCTTTTTTATGTTTTTTGTATTTTCAAACCATGTTTTTTTTTTCTTTTAGCAAAAGTGGAGCAACATTCACTCCATACAAAGGGCAATAATTCAGTTGAGCTTTTCTTAAAATAAAGTTTGTGCTGACAATAAATAGTCTCCCTCTTATAATCATAAACTTTCCCTCTGATGGAACAGATGGTAAAGATGTTGATGTAACATATTTTAGGAACAGCTTACTCATGTTTACATATTAGCAGATTTTAAGAATGCAAGTTAGTTTATAAATACCAAAATGGGACACGTTCTATAAATGTGTGAGCTATAATTAGAATATTTAGCCTTTATGTCACCCTATTTTAGTTACCATATGTTTTTTATTTTATTTTATACCGAAGTGTTTTTCTACCTGGAGTGTTTAGTTGGTTTAAGAGTTCTTCACTCTAGTATAAAGCAAACTGAGCCTGTTTTATTTTCAAATGCCTGTGTTTGGCCTTGTATGACTGATTAATGTAGATTTTCTCTAAACCTCTTATGCTGAATTCATTTTCCAACCTTAAGCATAAACTCCCTGATATGCAGACTTTTCTGTAGATCCTCTCTGCTGTGTTTTCCATACTCTCTTCAAGGTAAACTTTGAGATCACTAACAGGCTATGTATGTCATTGGGAGGATATGTGAATTATATATAAGAGGTATGATCTGGCTTGTATGATCTACGAAAAGGAGGTTTAGTTGAAATGCTTTTGTTGTTATCCTGTTAATTGCTTCCAAAAGCATTCATGCAGGCTTATTTTTCCATGTTTTCTTGTTTCGTCTCCTCAAAGCCACCAAATTCGATGTATTTTGATATGACATAAACACAAAACAGTGGTACGGTGAAGCAGAAGACAAGGGAACTTTTTCACCTACATATAAAACACAGTGTGTGATGCAAAATCTAACACTGCAGTGAAAGTTGAATGCTCCACCCCACAGCGAAACATGGGAGTGGCAACATCATGATAGGGTAATGCTTTTCTTAACCAACGATAGGGATTCCGATGGATTGAGTAAAAAACAGGGCCGACCTGGAGGAAGAAGACAATGTACAGGTGTTAGGTTTTCAGTTAAAGGTCAGGATTTTTCCTTCTGTTATAAATTTGCACATCTTGCCATTGTATTCAGTTATTTCATTCTTTATTTTTTTGGATAGCTTCTTCCTTTGGTTTTCACCTTTAAATACTCTCATTTAGCATGAACCTGGAGCTAATTTAGTAGATTTTGTTTTCCCCATTGTTTGTACCTGTGACCTGCTCTTTTTAAGTTGTCATTTAGTTTTCTTAGAATAATAAGCTCACCATGGTGAATCTTAGGGTTATTCAGCATTTTTGTCCAGGACATCAAAACCTTACAAGAGAATCACCTTTCTGCAGGACAAAGAAGTTTCCTAAAAACTGGAAGCTGTACCTGCAGCTAAAGGTGTATGGGGTACATTATTTTCCATTATTTATTCAAGCAAAGAACTCTATTCATAAATGTAAGTCTGAAAAATGCAGAAATTTTACTTTATCAAAAAGGTTTGGACGTGTTTGCCTTTTATTTATATATAATTTTTTTGTTGTCATATTTAGTTTCACAAGTTTTAGATTTTCAAATTTTCTTTTTTAAATTTTTTCTTACAGACTTCATATTTTCACACTGAATTTCTCTTTTTTTTCAGATTAAGTTTTATAAATTGCATTCTTTTCAAATGGCGTTTCTAAGATCACATTTTTTTCTCTCAAGCCCAAAACAAACACTATCTCTTGATAGTCGCATTAACCGATAAAAACTTTGTCGCTTATGTCCAGGAAAGCCTTCCCAGAGAAATGAAGAGATGTGATCTGTAAAATACGATTAGAAAAGAAGGCAATTTGTAATTCTGAAAAACATAAAATTCTAATGAAATCATAGATAAATAGAAATAAAAAAATTATATTAGATTTTTTTTTCCTTTAAAATAATTTTTTAAAGAGTCTATAAAAACAGCAAAGTTACTGTAAAACCCTCTTTTGATTAAGAAGCTTTTCAGTTTCCTTTCTAGATTGTAGTTTTTTCAATTTCCATTTATAAAATGTGTTCTTTGCTTCCAACAATAATGGAACAAAATTTACTCCATAACGGGCCGTTTCTACAAGCTCTGGATTTTATGGAGTTGCCTTAAAGGTCAATAAAAACAGTTGGACTCCACTGCAGCTAGGAAAACTGTATAATTTACCCTTTAACTCACAATTATATGGTGATCTGTGCTGTTTTAACATATACATGGTTCCAACATGATGAGATGTAAAATAAAAATAAAATTGAAGTCATGTAACAGAACAGCTTGCTCAGAGGTACGTTGAAAATAGCACCGTTTGAATTCCACCTCTGCTAGTACAAAAAGACGGAGACATTTTGATTAATTTAAGTTTAAGTTTTAGCTTTTAGTTGATGAAACACATTAAAACATTAAGGATATTAACCTCTGCCTTTATTTTCATTTCCAAATCTACAGAATGATGTCTTCCATGCGAGCAACGCCTCCTTTTCACCCGTCGTCTGAGGAGGCGGATCTGATGGGTCAGGACAACGCGGCCTGGGCCGGAGACGAGCGAGAAGGTCCGACGGTGATGGCATCGCCCCCTTTGGACGATCAACCCCACCCGGAGGACGTCCAGCTCGCCGGGAAGAAAGCAGGAGACGTTGAGTGGGAAACATCCGCTCCCCCCACTGGGACGGTGAGACGTGAAAAGAAATGGACCATATCGTACACTGAGATATGTGGCTATAACTCAGCTCTATAAACTATATGCCGTTGCTGTGTGTACACAGTGAACACACTTGGGGCACGCAGCTCATAAAACACCCATGAAGTACATGCTGGGGGCGCACCAGGGTCTGCAAATTCTCATGCATAATCATGATTGTGCACTCTTGTGTGCACCCTTTTATATCCATATATATACACTAACCCAGAGTGAACACACACATTTTCACAGCAGTAGCCTGTTTGCTGCAGGCGGTGCTGCAGGCTGACCTGTGAGGGTCCTTCTCTGGAGAGCTATACCCCTAGATTTTCTTCATCTCCACAGCGTGCTCTCAGGTGGATGTGTGTGTTCTGGTTATTCGGCTTTAGGTTCTTTTGGTTCCCAATAGATGAGGCAGGATTCACTTGAGCTTCTTAGTTAGAGAAAGTTTTCTGCTGGTCATACTCGTAGTTAAACACACATCACTTTTCCAACACAAAGGTGCGTGTTACTGTTTTTAAAACTCCTAGATGTGCAGTATATATTCATCTATTGCTGCGTTGCAATAGATGCATGATTGGCGCGTGTAATTATAAGCAGATCTAAAATATAACTCTACATCTTATCATTTTTAGTGAATTATCAGAACATTAAGCATTGTTTGGGAGTGCAGTGAAACTTTGATTTGTTGGTGCTTCAGTATTAAATGTTCAAAGCTGCCTCAAGGTAAAAATGTTCCAGAATCCTGGGAAAGCTTTGAAAAGGTCAGTTTAAAAGTGGAATTGTGGATATTTTTTGTCCCATAAATTTAACAAAGTTGTAGAAGAAGAACGTGTCGAGTCCATGAAGTCAGTAAGACGGTTACATAATCAAGTTTCTTTGACTAAAGGTAAAGTGTGTCTTGTAAAATCATAACATGTTTTGCTTTTAGAAACTGTACAAGATATTTGCTTAGAAAAAAATAAATAAAATAGATAAATGATGAGGGAGGAAAAAAACAATTGAGATAAAACTACTGTAGAACATTTATCGCTGGATCTGCTGCTGCAGGTCATGTGGGGGTTTATCTCTTCCACCTGTGCACAGCTACAGTACAGACTGATTATTTTTTAAACAGAGAAAAATCAGTTAAGTCTGAACATGCTTTTTCAAGTCTTGTCATGAGTTGGTCTGTTAACTTTGGGTGATTTGAAATTTATTATTGTTTCTGAGAAGAAATCCATTTGCAGCCCCAACACACACACACACACACACAAACAACCAACTTTGACAAAAAAAAAAAACTAAGATGATTGTTCTGACTGAACAATCACCTTTGCCTCTGGAAAAATGAGGAACCTCCTCGGCCTTCCCCTAAGAAATTTAGCCTCACTGGAAGTTACGTTTTTTTAGTGTGTTATCCAATCAGGGCTTTAATTTCTCACTTCTTACTTCGATAGATAGAGGCTCAAAGCTCAACAGGGATTTCTTATAGTGGCTCACCAACAGTGTCCTGCTGCTCCAGAGCTGAGGGGGAGATCATTGCACCTTTTAGGGCGTCTATCAATTGACTAACTTTTCCCCGTGTTGCCTTGATATTAGCCTCCAGCCTTCTTTTTCATGGTGGATAGTTTATCACATGGTTGTTCTTATAGCCAATCATCTCTAGGATCACTGCTGCTGTGCAGTATATAAGCTCATTGGTGTCAGTCGGTTGGTGTTGAAATTGCTTGCAGGGCTGCATTCACCTCTTCTAGTAGACTTTCTGATGCTTTCTGATGCTTCTCCATCTATGTAACTGGATTCGGGGTTGACTGGTGGACATTTTTGCCATGATCTTATTTTTCAGGTCAGGTGCTGCTTCATTATTGGAGCATTGTACCGAATCTCTGGTGGGGGGTTGGTGTCAACTCCCATCTGACCTGGGGTCCTGGTCCCCCCTTGCTAGAACAGTGGTTTTGTATCATGTCAATCTCAAGTTGTGAGAGCAGTTGCCGTTTATGGATATTGGAACATTGAGTTATGGTACTAGTTGTTTCGCCGGGAGTTTGGAATGTGGGTTTCGAAGAACCATTTCTCCTACATCCTTTGCATGTACCCCCTCTGACTAGGGTTACTGAAGTAGTTGCATTCCAACAGAGCCATGTTATCACATCCCGCTCATTTCCCTCTTGTTCCAGAAGCCCATTTTACATCAAAGTGCTCTAGTTCCCCAACATCTGACACAAACCTTGTTTGGCCAGGCAACGTATGAGCCAGCATGTCATTCATTTTATTGTCACTCATCATTGTGTGAGGTAGGCATTAGCGTAAAGGGCCTTGCCTAAGGATCCACACTGGCAGTTATCTATATATAAATATAAATATATACTGTATGGTTTGTATTTATGTCCAGTGATGTGCTTGCAAAAGGGTCAGTTGATGAAAGAGATGCTGTAGAATATGAATTCAGAATTCAACTCTTGAAAAGAACAGCAACTAGCCTGAATGAAGATGCATTGCTAACGCTACTAGTATTAACAAGATAGAACTATAGTAGGCTCCTTCAAAGTGACAAAAGGTAACATGAGAGCAAAGAAACAGGTCCAGGTGATCAAAAAGAAGAAGCCCCATGCTTGTGACATACTCAGGGCCTCATGGTGTTGAATCTACAGACAAAGAACATTCAAAATGCTCATGGAGAGTAATGTACCTGTGTATATTTTAAATAAAGTTGCTCATATGAGTTTTTTTTTTTTCCCACACATATGCACTTTTACAGTAGCAGCAATTCAAAAATCCCCACTTTCCTTGATGGGCCATTGGCTGGTCCCCTAAGTCTTCTTTTTTTAAACATCAATCTTTGTTCTAAAATATTCTGTCTGTTATGATTTGTGAACATTAAGATCTAAGAGAAGTGTTACCTCCTCAGACCCTGTAACTCAGTGAAAGGTCGGAGTCAGAGTAAAAAAAATATGCATGCCCAGGAGAAGCGGGGGTCACTCCAGTGGCTGGAAGTTGAAGGGGATTTTGCTGGGAGTTGCAGGGAAGTGGGCTGCCATTCGGCTGGCGTTTGACTGGGAAGGGCCATTTTGAATGGCTGCTACTGTAACAGAATTCTGACTTCATATAAAACTAAACATTGGTCAACGTTAGAAATTAATTAATTGACTCCTGTGATCAGCTGGTTGGAAGGGAGTATATTGAAGGTTTATCAGAGTAAACAGCGATGAGAACAAATGCAGTTACCAATTAGCTCCTCTGTCCTTTCTGACAAAAAGCAACCAAGCCTGATGCTGCCACCGCCATGTTTTATTATGGGGATGATGTGTTGGCTCTCGTATTCAGTGAAGGTTTTCCATAACATATACATCACAAATAGCTTCTTCTTTCCTGTGGTAACAGAGTGGCTCCTCCCACATGTTTGCTGTGTAAGGAAGGCAAAAATGGTGCTCAATACTGCAAAAATCAAAACCTAAAATCAAATCCAGCTTAGCTGTTTGTGACATTACGTAAGAGCTAAAAGAGTTTTAATACTTTTGTATAAAGCTTCCGTCATTGTTAGCCATCCGCTCATTAGATCTTCCACTGTTTGCCGTTCCTTGCATGCAGCGAAGAAATGCTCTTAAACAATCCTTTAGTGACATGCTATCCCCCAATTCTCATTACAAAGGTATCTCCTGCTTAAAGACAAAGTGTACAGCAGGGCCCCTTTTTGGAGCCATTTCAAGGGCATCTTAAGATCTTGCTGTTCAGCAAAGCCTGTTGTCTTTGAAACATAAGCCTCCGAAGGTTCTCGGAGATCCCCTCACTCTGTAAGGGGGTGGAGAAAGCATCCTGAAATAGCTCCGGTGTTGGGACACCTGTGCTGAAGTGTCTGTTGTGTGGGACAATGTGGTCATGTAGAGAGGATTATCTTCTCAATAATTATAGACTCTTTTTTTTAAATCAAAGGAAAACAACAGTGGGACCCTTAATTATTTTTCCTAAGGCAGAAATTAATAGACATTGTAAAAAAAAGTCTTTCTACTGTAAGGTTGAGGTATAATAATGATCACACCTTCACTAATGCTTAGAGGTAAGCATATACTTTAGAATTATCTAGATATTTCCACGTTTCTAATGTCTTGTAGAGAAAGGTTAGTGCCTTCACAACTATTTCTGAGTGTTTTTTCCCCCTCACTTTAAGTCTGAGATACTCTCAAGTAATTCTTCTAGCTTCACAATACTGATCACAATGTGCTGAATACCTTTAGAATAAAAATGGAAAGACCAGGACGGGACCATTGCATTCCTGATAACTAGTAAATCAGTTACTGTAATCATCATCCTGTCAGTAGTAAAAGGTAGTCCTAAATATAATAGCAATATCAGTCCAGTAAGATATAATGGGCATAAATGGGGAAAAAAAATGTCATCATATCAACATAGGGTGGGTTTAAGATCTATTATTTTAAAACAAAGAGAAATTCATGTAATATAGATTTAAAATTTCAAACTCGTTTTTGCATCCTACAGTATATGAGAGAATACCTTAGTTAGCTCATTAGCATTTTTATACAGCTGTCTCTGTGTGTGCTCTGAATGTTTGGAGCAGTGGTGTCAACTCAGAACAATGTTTACAAGTTCAATTGGGCCAGAAAAAAAAATCTCATTTATTTTGCAAACAATTTGTATAATCCTCTAATAGCATTTTGGGGCCTACATAAAAAAGAAAAATGATTTTGATGAAAATAGCCTGTCAGGCAAACTTTATAAACCCCTTTGCGAGGGAGTCGGAGATTTTCAAGGCTGCCAGCTTTTCAAGCATGTTCTGTTTCAGGTATTTGAAAGCTCAGTGAGATAAAAGAGCGACTTTGCAATACTTTGTTAAGCCTTCCTGTTATCTGTTCACAGTTCTGCTCTCTAGCTCCTGAATAACATTATATACATGTTTTTAAGAATTTTATTTTAGAGCTTTTTGGTACCTTTAACTCCCTTAAAAAAAAATAAAAAATTAATAATGGTAGCCTCTGTCCAAGAGTCCTCTTCCCTCAGTAACGGCATCCACAGGTGTTGTCTTTAGAGCAACCGGCTGGTGCTTCCCGATCCAGCCCAAGCTAGGGACCATTTTATACGACGGGCTTTTAGGTTAAAGCCTGATCACAACATAGCGGCATTGAAACTGACAATATTTTCAGCCAGCTCCAAGATTGGATTAGTGATAGTCAGGATACTCCTACACACATGACCAGTTACACACTGGTGTGTTTGTGCATACGATCCAATGCAGCCACACTCAGCATGGCCCATCACAGCTTTTTTGGCTTCAGGCAGTTTCATCTTTTTTTTAAACTGAAGCTTTTTCTGTGTGGAAACTTAATTCTAATAAATGTGAATGTAGAATGTAGATTGGTTTCAATCGGTTCCAAAGTTCTCCGTGAATCTTTTATCATTTGTGACTTTAAATTTAATCTCTGATCATCTTTTTCTTTCTCAGGACAATGAAGGCAGCAAAGGCTGCTCTGGCTACGCTTACCGGACTAACTCCTCCTCTCCTACCAAGCCAGAGGAGTGCTCCAGAGATCGAGGAGAGTCTGTGATCGGCCTGGCCTTTGGGACTCCGGAGCGGCGTAAAGGAAGTCTGGCTGATGTGGTGGATACACTGAAACAGAAGAAGCTTGTGGAGCTGACCAAGTCCGAACAAGATGGTGAGAGAAAACAATTAGCTTTTTGAAATCGTTTGTGTGGGTTTAATCTCTGAAACCCATTTCTGTCGTCTTTGTCAGTGTTAAAAAAGTCAGTTTCCTATTATTATCAGTGCACACCTTCCTGGATGCTGAATAGTGTGGCCACTGTTTCACTGGACAACATCGCTTGTTGCCTATAACTGAATAGATACAGTCACAGAAACAAAAGATGTTCAACTTTTTTCTTTATATAAGGACTTTATCAAAACATGAAAATGTTGTAAGATGATTATGGTGATCAATCAGCTGTTTTTTTTTTTTTTTTAGTTAAAGGTATAAGGTATATACAGATTCTTAACTAAACGTACAGTTAACAAAATATTTATTATGAGCAGTAGTATTATTAATACTGTTGTGTATGTATACTGTACACAAATTTAGCTAATTAAGGAGAATAGAAATAGAGTAGAAAATCCCTTTATTGTCCCACAATGAGTAAAATTGTGGTGTTACAAGAGCAAAAAAGATTAAGGAAGTCACACAAATGTGGAGCTTAATAGGGGGTATAAGAATAACAATTAGTGACAGAGTTAAGAACATAAATAATTCAAATACTGTACTGGCCTTTGTGTCTTAAAATATGCACAAAAACACCCCTTTATTTTCCACATTTTTAACTTTAGATGGCTGCATATTTGTATTAGAATTTGCTAGAAGTTCTAGAAAAGTACAAATTTGAGTAAATAGTTCAGGGTATATTCATATATATANATAAATTATGCTAAGCGTTGCCTTTAGCAGATTAGCTAGCTATTTATGTAGTTAGGTTTTACATGTACTTAAAACAAAAAATTACTATGACAACTTCTTTATTCTGAGTTTTCATTATAGAAGTTAACCATTAGGCCTACATGCTTTTATATTCTCATCATGATAGTGTAATTACCTGCTTTTTTACAAAGATCTTTTATGCAGAGGTTTTATTTTAATTCAATAAACATAATTCTCTGTATTTTCATAGTAAGAGGCTAAAATACAAATTGTTATCTAAAATGATTTAATTCTGATCATCTTTTGATATTTAATATCTTGTGTTTACCAGGAGTAAAACCATAAGAAAGTCAGATGATCTCCATTGTTTAAAATTTCAGCTCCTCTGATTCTTTTTTCTCATTAATCATAGCCTGATTTCCATGTGCAAAGTGAAATAAATAATAGATTTCCATATATGGATTATCTTTACAGTAAACCTTTGATCAAATAAACAACAAAAAAGAAACTGTTCAACAGTCATAAACTGTATCTCTGAATTATGGTAAAACAGAAATAATTACTTAGCAAAATGCAAATGTTAATTTTTTTATAAAATAATTAATTGCAACTATTTTGACTGGAAAATACACTAACTAATATGAAACTGACATAAATTTGTGGAGTTTACTTTAACTTGCAATAAAATAACTTCCCTGATCTGACTGGAAAGCTTTTGATTAGATTACTTTAACGCCCAATTTTTCATAGACAAGACGCATTTTATCCCTCCCCTTGCTTATAGAGTGAAACCATCCATATCGTCCTCGCTTATGTTGTTTTCTCTTTCCCCTTCAGAAGATCTTTGAACATCTTAAATTACAAGTGGCTTATCCCTCGCCTGTCAGATCACAGTTTTACTCTTTGAAAACACAGGTTTCCCTTTCTTTCCTGCTCCTATCTCCGAGGCCTGCCAGCGTGCCTCGGCTTGCTCCTTCCCTCCCCAAAGCGAGCCAGATCTAAAACAGTCTAACACCCCTCTTTACTGTTATGTGCAGATAGTAATCGTGATGATATCAGAAGAGCTCTTGATCTCTCTCATTTGGAGGTTTTACTGTGTTATTGATACAGTAAAGTTGTCTCAAATTGGACAGCCAGAGGCGAAGTACAGCGAATGGTGTGAAGTTGAAAGGCAGGTAGCTGGGTTTCTCATCAACCGCACAGGAACTGAATTAAAAGGAAAGCGTGGATGTTTGTGTAGCTTCAAAAACTGTTTTGACACTTCCTCGTCTAGTCTAAAGTGATCCAAGTTGAAAGATTTGGACAACAGCCTTTATTTTAGTGCCTAGACATGAAAAGGATCCTATTCTCTCCTCTGTTTATTTTTTAATGTTTAACGCCCCCCCCCTTACTATTACTGCTTACATCTTGCTTTTTATATTTTGCATAGAGTGACTGGTGCTATCTCTATAGAAACGTTTTTAATTCCCTCACTTGCTGCTTACAGCCTGTCAGCTGGCTGAAATCTGCACCTTACTCTCATAGGACAGAAAGTCTTGAAAGATAAAACTGGTCATAAGTGGTAGCAAGCCAATACTGCAAGGACTGTGGAGGCCTGGCATCCTACCTGAGCAGATAGCCTGAGTAATTAGCCAGCTAACAGCTTGTTTCTAGCTTTGTTGATTTCTTAAAGTGATAATAGTAAAGTAGCTAATATCTCAGGTGCAGAAAGAAACTTTGGCTGTATCCGAATGTCACCATATAGGACACTATATAGTGGTTACGCCATTTTAGATGAGTGTCTGAATGTCTTGTGGATGAAAAATTAGTGGACTTAAAATTTCGCACAATGCACCTTGAAAAGTAGTGATCATCCATGGTCAATGAACGAGCAGACGAACAGTTATGAACCCTCATAATATAAGTTTATAAATTTATAAATTCCCAGCCTGAATTTAATGGACTATATTTGATTTTATTATACGCCGAAAAATAATTTCTTTCAAAGAACATTTAGAAATGTTGTTTTAAACTTTTATATAATTTATTCCTCCAGTAAAGAAAAATCTAAATGATTAAAATTTTGGAATCAGCAGTCTATGTTTGAAGGAAAGTGGGAGGTTCAAGTACTGGCAAGAGAAAATCCTGATCAGTGCAACTATGATTTGATAATTTTGGAAATATTTAATCCAGTTTTCTTGCAGGCTGTTGAGGGACGACCTTTTGTCATTGAATGTAGCTTTTCCTTTTCTAATTAGCATACCTGCTAGTAAATGAAAAAAGGCCATTGATGGCGAACAATTCATTGGATCAGACAAGAGAAGCGTGTGCGGCATTGCCAGGCCCTCCTCATCATAGTGTTAGTGTGTATGAATGAGGCCTTGCAAAGTGTTCACGTAAATTGCTGATGGTTGAGGGTGCATTGTTGAGCTGTTTTCCGTGCAGCGCTGTAGAAATTTGTTCCATTTTTGAGCCGGTGTGTGCAGATCGACGGGCAACAGCTTTTTTTTTTCCTGCATAATGAGCTGTGCCGAAATGAGACGAGGTGATCCATGGGTGTCTGAGGCTGAATGCTTCATTAAGTGAGCTCTCTTTCTGTGGCTTTCACAACTGATCAGTATTAAAGCCTCAAATCTCTTTTCTAGATTTTTTAAAACTCTTCTCAGAAATTGTTTGAATAGGCTACTGCATCTTCATTTAATTGCATTTTTTTCCTGATGTCTGCTGTTTCTTTTATTTCTCTTCCTTTTTCACCTATGGAGAGACATCCCTCTCTCATCTTTAGCAGTCATTTGTTTCATTGAATTCCTCCCCCTCACCTGACCTTGCAAGCTTCCCAAATTAAAAGTATTTGTGTAGAAAAATGCAGAGGTGCCACAAATTCATAATTTTACATATTTGTTAAAACACACAGGAGTGCCAGGCTGCCCTGGTGAAAGGGATTATAAGGAGTCCTACTTAGGGGGAAATTAAATCATAATTTCCTAATTAGTCTTTCTCTGACACTTCATGGCTGTAATCTATTTAGAACAAAGGTCTCAATCTAACTACTGGAGAACAACCAGAATTAATCATCCGCTATCAACATAAAACTCAGATGAAAAGGGAACGGTTGTGACTCCTCACTGGGCCTGAGTTCTCTGGGGTTCTGTTTGCTGAACAGACTCTATTAAGCAGCACAGGGCTGATCTGAATATGCCACGTAGCCTGGAGCGATGCAGCAGAACAAGTCACTTAACCCCTGTCCGTACGCTGTTAGCAGCCTGCTACTCAGAGGAACCCTCAGTGCCTGTGACAGTTCTAATGAATAGACATGGCCTCGCTTTAAGATATGGAATATTTTTTTCTTGCTCTCTTTCTTTTGTACAAGTGCAGCCTTTAAAAGCTTTATGAAGAACTCCTTAAGACAGTGTCAGGTAGTTGTGTTACCACACAGCTGGTTGCTGAAATGCCTCTCTTTCACTCAGACTTTCACAACATGGAAGCCAAAAAGGGCTTTCTTGACAATTTTGTATTTATGTTGAGTCTTGGCCTTTGTTGCACGAAGGTTTAGACACAATAGCACGCAGTGCACAAAAGCCTGTCTCTGTGCTGTTAAAGCACTTAGCGCTGATTCGGCTGCTTTCAGAACAAAATGCATTTGGGTGCAAAGGCTTGCTGCAGAAAAGAAATTTCGTGTCGCTGTCTGATCAAGTTTATGGAGATGAAGGAATTGGAAACAAAAAGCTGATCATGATGCGAATGTAGAGTCGAAGCATTCTGGGATTCCAGCCGACCAACTTTAAACCAGCTGAAGTGTGCAATCAGGCTCCCCCTCCGAGTTTGATGAGCGAATTATGATCATGTGCATTGTTGCTCCTCAATAGAGCCGACCTGCTGCTAACAGGGCCTGGCACGGGGCAGCATGCCCCGATGCCAACTTAGTCAGCCATCTAATGTGCCTAACGCCGGCCCCGGCGCCTGGCAAACACTTAAAATCACACTAATCCCTGCTTACACCGGAGCGGCGTTGAATCACTGCACAGTTTGTTTCATTTGCAAATGAGGCGGGGGCTCAACCGCAGCTGCACTGAGGTAACTGTGGGACTGATTTCTAAGCTCAGCTAAATACCTGCATTGTCCTGCCAAAGTATTCACACCCATTGGATGAATACTTTAACCTTTCACATGTTATCTTCTTAACAGCACAAACCTTAGGATATTTCTTTGGAATATTAGGATGGGAGAACCTTAAATTGTGCATAAATAAGAGGTGGAAATAAAAATCGTAA